ACATGGGAGGGACGTAATTGACTCATGTTTGGTGTGTTTCAGAGGTGAAGTTCAGTGACTTGGCTATACCCAGCTGAGACTGGACAGGTTCCTCAAACCACAGTTTGACTCGCCTGTCTAGTCACATACTTCTGGTGCAGTGAGGTCATTTTACTCCTTCAGAACACACGTCAAACAAGACTCACCAATTACATTCATTTCAGTACAGTGGTGCACAGTAGAAGGCTGCTGTAATATGAGATTTAAGATGCCCGATGTGTGGGGGTATTTTAGGGGTTTTTTTGTGCATGTGCTGACCTTTCCCTCTCGGTCTCACAGAGCGAAGTGCGTGCCGTGTGGACCAGATCTCAGGGGCGTACGGCTGGTGGGGGGAGCGTACCCTTTTCCTAACCTCCCTCCACTCCTGTCGCACCGAGAACTATGTCCCGGGACTGCACCTGCTCACCTTCCAGCACCCCCGCAACGACTCCCAGCCTGACCAGGTACGGAGTCCAAATGTTTTGACTTTACCAGTTGAGCCTGTAACTACTTCCCTCTCTGCTTATACTTACTCCTCCTTCCTGCCACCAATATTGCATTCGAGCTTGGATATAATGATTCTATTTTTGTTAGTTTTTCTTTGTGCTTTATGCTTTTTAACCTCGTCATGTCTCTTTTTCTTTTTCTCTGTTCGCTTTGGGTAGAAAGGATATTTTTGTTCAAGTCGTTTGTGAAACTTTGTGGAGCAGTTAGTAGAGAATAGTGCCTCTGTTGATGTGTTTCCACTTCCATCATCCTCCACTGTCCTCCATCCTCCTCACCCCTCACATTAGGTAACCATCCTCCGCAGCGCTACCGTCATGCTTGGCCCCACCACAGAAATGGACGTAGCCTTACAGTTTAGGGGGTTTGTCCACCCATTGTGGGGCGGGCCTCCACCTGCACCCCCTCCTACAGAGACAGTCTCCATGTGGGCTCGCATCCAGAGGCTTCACTTTGAGGCTCGAATGGCAACAGGACCCAACTCCAGCCAGATGGTGAGGAGAAGTGCATGTCAGCTGGAATTTCTTTGTCTCTTTCTTTACAGCATAATTCTTTAGAGGATTATTTGTAGTAGATTTGATAATAAATTAAAATAATTTCAATTTCATATGGCCAAACATTGGAACTGTTGGAATGCTTAAGAATTGTCGGCGAAAGCCAATATCCTTGTCCCCAGGGCTCAATATTGTTATGAAACACTATTGTTTTATCCATATTTTCTTCATGTCCATATTTTGTGCATTGTGAACCCATTTGCTGATCAGGAGGTGGTGGGTCACTGGGCAGCTCAGCAGGAAAAGGAGCTGAAGCTCCTGACTCGACCAGATGGGAGTCGACTTTTCTCTAACCTCACTCGGGGAAACCATTACCTTGTTCAGGCGGAGGGCTACCTGAACAACTCGGGCTCAGGACAAACAAGTGAGATGGCCTTGATCTGGAACAGAACGTTGCCTGGAGGAAGTGTGAGTTTAACTTCAACAGCAAAACTAACTTGTGCAAAATTCTTTTGTGATTTTTCTTAGATCATGAAACAAAAGCATAGTTTTAATACCCTTTCCTTTATATCTTGTGATATCTCCTTCTAGGAGATCTCCTTCCTATTCTCGGAGCCGTACCGCTCAGGTTCCTGCTCAGGGTACATGTCCTGTCTGGCCTGCCTGTCAGACCAGTCTTGTGGCTGGTGCCCGTCTTTGTCCCGCTGTCTGCTGCGTGACAGCCCAGACCTCGAACCCTGCCCTGAGGGGCTGAACAGTGAAGGGAAGATGGAAGGTCAGCTCCATCTGCTGTTAGCACCCCAGCACTGCACCATGTGTGAAGAATACAGAGACTGCTCTGCTTGTACTCAGGTACAACACAGATGCACATAAAAACTGGCATTATCTGTCATTATTCTGACTTGTATACCATAACTGTATTCTTGACTCATGCTGTGCTAACTTTGATTGTAGGACCCTTATTGTGAGTGGCAGATAAACTCCAGCAAGAAAGGCGACTACCAGTGCAGTCGGCGAGGAAGAGTAGATGGATCCATACGTGATCCAAGGGGGTGTCCTAAAGTGTGCAACCAGTAAGTTGAAAAATAATATTCATTTTACACATTATTTTAGGTCATACAAACATCTCCAGCTGATCTTTTCTACTCTACTTTCACTTTCTTTTACAGGAGAAAGACATGTGGTGAATGCCTTTCCAACTCCAGCCAGTGTGCGTGGTGTGAATCTGCTCAGGCCTGCTTCTATTTTGCTGCCTACCTCACAAAGTACCCCTATGGAGAGTGTAGGGATTGGTATGACAGGTAAGATGAGAACATTGTTAAGATATTTTTGTTTTTTCCTTTTGTTTTATTTATAATCATTATAAATACTATAATAATATAGTCATCATGTCTATAATGCTGTAATGACTATAATCATTATCTTTTTTACATTTTAAATGTAAAGTCATGCTTAACATAATCAAATGACTCATGAATACCTAAGAGTAAGTAAGTCAGTAAAGTCATCATATTAAATATTTTGTAAGATAAGATAACCGTTATTATTCCCAGCAGAAAGTGGACAGTGCAAAGTTATATAGCAAAAATTAAAAACCCATAGTCATCAGCATTTAAGCGGTTTCTCTGGTTACGCGCTCTCATCTCTTTATTTGTCCAAAGGTTTCTTTGCCTTTTTCTGGGTGTTAGCAACTGCACAGTTGGACTGACATTACATAATTGGCTCTGACATTTCAAGACTGTTCCAACTGTATTTTTATCCTGTGAAATGATGAAATGTGTTTGACTGCCTCTAAAAATTCAAGTTTTGTTCTTCTGCTCAACCCTAAGACTACTGCTGGTCATGGCTCCTGCTTGTACCTGTCTTATTTATAATTTACTTCTTACTATGTCTAATGGAAAATAAGTTCATATTGCTTTTTCTGAGCCTTATCATTATGATTTGTAGTACTACTAGTAGTAGTAGTAGTAGTATTTCCCTTGCATGGCCAGGTCAACACAGACTAACAACTCCACTTCAATTTAAATTGCAACTTTCACCTCATAATCAGCTGTGCGTGTAATTTCTGCTAATAGCAGCAAGCACCCTTTCATTTGGTCACTGTATTCATCCATCCATCCATCCATCCATCCATCCATCTTCATCCGCTTTATCCGAGGCCGGGTCGCGGGGGCAGCAGCCTAAGCAAAGAGGCCCAGACCTCCCTCTCCCCAGCCACCTCCTCCAGCTTATCCGGGGGAACACCAAGGCGTTCCCAGGCCAGCCGAGAGATATAATCTCTCCAGCGTGTCCTGGGTCTGCCCCGGGGCCTCCTCCCGGTGGGACATGCCTGGAACACCTCACCCAGGAGGCGCCCAGGGGGCATCCTTGTCAGATGCCCGAACCACCTCAGCTGGCTCCTTTCGATGTGGAGCAGCAGCTGCTCTACTCTGAGCCCCTCCCGGATGGCCGAACTTCTCACCCTATCTCTAAGGGAGAGGCCAGCCACCCTTCGGAGGAAGCTCATTTCTGCCGCTTGTATCCGCGATCTCGTTCTTTCGGTCACTACCCACAGCTCGTGGCCATAGGTGAGGGTAGGGACGTAGATCGACCGGTAAATTGAGAGCTTCGCTTTTACACTCAGCTCCCTCTTCACCACGACGGACCGGTGCAGCGTCCGCATTACTGCAGCTGCAGCCCCAATCCGTCTGTCGATCTCCGGCTCCCTTCTCCCATCACTCGCGAACAAGACCCCGAGATACTTGAACTCCTCCACTTGGGGCAGGAACTCATCCCCGACCCGGAGTGGGCACTCCACCCTTTTCCGGCTGAGAACCATGGCCTCAGATTTGGAGGTGCTGATCCTCATTCCCGCTGCTTCACACTCGGCTGCGAACCGTTCCAGTGCGAGCTGGAGGCCCTCACCCGATGAAGCCAACAGAACCACATCATCCGCAAAAATGTTTTCTCTTTTCCCCTCTCCTCCAGGCGAAACGAGGCGCATCTTGAGTGTGAATCCCACTTATGACTGGACATGTTTCAGCTACGCTCTGCTCAACGTCTCACCCATGCAGGTGGAGTCATCCCCTCCTCTGCCGTGCCCTCCGCCATGCCACAGTCTCCATAACTGCAGCCTTTGTCTGAGCTCCAATGGCTCTGATGGGGGCTGGCAGCACTGTGTGTGGAGCATGGCCCTGCAGCGGGTAAGATTGTCGTCATCATCATAAGATCACGTCACAATATCACAGCTATAGCAATGCAATTAAAGAATAACTTAAAAAAGAGCTACTTCAACAACCTCTAACAAAGCTCAATATGCAAGAAAATAGTTCCAACTGAAGGTGGAAACGACCAGTTGAAGCAAAAAAAACCACTAACAAGTGCAAACAGGATGTGAAGGAGGCAATATTAGCGATCGGTGTTGTGCTGTCAATGTGTGAAAGAACCGCTCTACCCAGTGTCGCCGTAGCACTCACTAATTTCACTGCAGGTTGTACATGACAGAAAGACCAAACAGTGGATGTAGTTGTCTTTTATTTGGCTAAAGATATGATGCAATACAGATTGTGGTGAAAGGGGCTTTGACCAGCTGGTTAAGACTTTACTCAAGAAATGATATCCCAGGTAGAAAACATTTTTCAGTTTCTCATGTAACAAAGTAGTGGTTTACATGTTCTCCTAACAAGTAGCAGATCTCTATCCCAGTTCTGGGTGGATAGTTTTATGGTTGCATCAGGAAGAGTGTCTAATGTAAAAAATCTACCAGATCAAACATGATGAGCCACTGTGGCGACTCCTTGTAAGTGAGGGAGCAGTTGAAATTAGCTCTGATAATGCATTATTTAACAGTAGCTAAGCTAAATTTTTGTGCTTAGGTTTGACTTTACTCTCACTGGATGTGGTGCTGTGTCACTACTATTGCACTGTGTTGCTGCTACCGCTGGCACCTTGTTTTATTAGATTGCTAAGGTTAGCATCAGTGATAGTAGCTCATTGGAAGGAAGGATAGAAAATGCAGTTCATCTACTTACACTTATAAATGTTGCTGTGCGGAACCATCATTAAAATGTTCCTATATTTTTTTATGTTGTAGTGTTATCATTAAAACATATGTTTTCTGAAAATATTGTGACATAACTTTGAGGCCGTATCACCCACCCCTGATTGGAATGTTGGACTTTAACTTAATTTATTTTCTTTTTAATTTAACTGAGCAAATCTCTTTCCCCTTCCTGTAGTGCATGAGCCCATCTTTTGTGCCCCTCCGGTGTGAGGCAGGCCAGTGCGGTCGACTGCTTTCTAGGGGAGACTCCTGCTCTCCCCAGTGCTCCCAGCTCACTCAGTGCTCCCAGTGCATTGCTAGGCCTCAGTGTGGTTGGTGTTCTTCTCGCGGGGGCAATGGGGCTGGACGCTGCCTACAGGGAGGACTTGATGGTGAGAACAATGTTAAATTTATTGTTTTGAAGAAGCTGAGCATCTTGGCATGTTATGAGTGGATTGTTTTGTTATTTATCAGCATACCTCTGTGTCTTTCTCTCTCCCCCCCCTCCACAGGTGTGAGTGAGGGTGTCTGCCCTTTGACAAACAGCAGCTGGTCTTTTCTCCATTGTCCAGAGGAGGATGAATGCGCCAACGGTCATCACAACTGTAACAGCACTCAGGACTGCCACGATCTGCCACAAGGATACCACTGCACCTGCAAACAGGGTTACATACTTAGCAGGTAATATAAGAGGATAGTTTGAACTTTATTGTGTAGTGACTGAAGAAGTTCACTGAAATCTCCGCTTTTTGCGTCCTTCTGTGCAGTATTTCTGGTCAGTGTGAGCCAGTGTGTGCACAAGGCTGTGTGAATGGGACATGCACATCCCCTGGAGTTTGCCAGTGTCACTTTGGCTTTGTAGGGGATAACTGCTCCTCTCAGTGCAGCTGCAACAAACACAGCAACTGTGCTGGTGTTAACAAACCAGATGTTTGTTTGGAGTGTCACAATAACACCATGGTAAGTGCTTATAATAATCTACATTCACGTGCCTTAAACGTTTTGGTTTTTTTCATATTCAGTAATCCACTTTGTTTCCTCTATGCCCCAAATCTAGGGTAAACATTGTGAGAAGTGTAAGCCTCTGTTTGTGGGCTCTGCCAAGGGGGGTGGCACTTGCCATCCATGTCGGGAATTTTGCAAGGGAAACAGCGCTGTGTGTCTATCCCGGGATGAACTTAAGAAGGCACAGGAAACTCTACAATTATATCCTCTTGACCCTAACAGCGTAAGTAACTGAAATCCGTGAGGGTTTGTGTATGTGAATATATTTATATTAAAAAAACAAACACAAACCACTTTAGTTTTAAAGTTCTGTCACTTTTTGTCCTCCTATTAGATTCAGTCCTGGGTGTCTGAGGGTCCAACAGAGGAGAATGCTGTATGCGTAAATTGTCAGAACAACAGCGTAGGGGATCGGTGTGAGAGCTGCCTTAGTGGCTACTTCCTGCTGCAGGGGAAGTGTGAGAAGTGAGTAAAATCTGCTGCTGAGCTGTCACTGGAGTGTTATTATATAAAGTTATTATATAAAGTTTTAATGTGTGATTTTGATTACTCAGTACCTGGTCTGTCAGTTATAATCAGCAGATGTGTCTTTTACTATTAAGAGAAATGCTTATACATGCACAGTTGTAGTGAATGTTAATTTCTCCTCTTCATCACAGGTGTCAGTGTAATGGCCATGCAGATACATGCAATGAACACGATGGCACAGGCTGCCCCTGCCAAAACAACACAGAGACCTCCTCCTGCCTCAGCAGCCCCCAGAGTGATCGCAAAGATTGCTACAGACAACAGGTATGTGCATGCTGGAGTTCAGTTTCCACTTTTTACAGTTTTGACTTGTTGAAATCCACATTTTTCTTTTTTTTTTTTGTCAGTGAATGAAACATGCTTAAATTCTGTGTTTTACTCTTTCATTTAGTGTGCAAAGTGCAAGGATTCTTTCAATGGTACACCAGTGAATGGGCGTCAGTGCTACCGTCAGTTTAATGTGGACACAGAGTGCTGCTTTGACCCCACATCGCAGACCAACTGCTTTCATGATCCCACCATTCGCAACCTGCCCAAGGGGCGCACTGTATTCTTTGCTGCCCAGCCAAAGTTCACCAATGTGGACATTCGGGTCACCATTGATGTCACTTTTGGTGAGGTGGAGGTGTACGTGTCCAACTCTCATGACACCTTCATTGTGGACGTAGATCGATACACAGGGATTCACACCATCAAGATCGAGGAGGAATCTGTAGTTCCAGGGAAAACTGCCGGGACAGAAAAGGATTCACCTCCGTCCCCTATAAAGGTGTTTGCCAACACCTCATCCAACTTTGCAGGTTCTGTGCTTTCCCAAAGCCTGCAAGCAAAACCTCCAGGAGCGGAAAGGGAAATTAGAGAGGAACGTGCTGAAGGACTCATCACCTATATCACCGTGTGGAAACCCCAGACGGTGCTGATTGTCCGTGGTGTTCGAGATCGTGTGGTGATCACCTTCCCCCATGAGGTGCACTCCTTGAAATCTAGTCGCTTTTACATCGCTCTGAGAGGTGTTGGAACTGAAGAGAGACAAGGAGAGTCCCAGGGCCTGCTGTTTCTGCGACAGGACCAAGCCCACATTGACCTTTTTGTCTTCTTCTCTGTCTTCTTCTCCTGCTTTTTCCTCTTCCTGTCTGTCTGCGTCCTCCTGTGGAAGGTTAAGCAGTTCCTGGACTTCCGTCGGGAGCAGCGTCGCCACATTCAGGAGATGACAAAGATGGCATCAAGGCCTTTTGCTAAGCTCACTATATACCTTGAGCCGGAGGAGCCTCAGCTCATCTACTTGCCTTCATCTGGTGGAGGGGTAGGGGGCAGCACTGTGTCGCTTGCTCATGCCCGCACAAGCAAGTTAAGTGGAGTGGTGGTTGGCCAGAGGGGCAGAGCAGGACCTGTCTCCTATAAACATGACCCATCCTCTGGACCCACAGCCCATCACCACCATCACCTCACCTTGGGTGGAGGAGGCAACAGCGGCCAGCATTTACCACTGCACTACTTGAACACCCATCATTATGCCAGTACCACAGCTGGCAACCCAGCCTCACATCATCACCACCCATCCACATACAGCGCTTACCAGCACTTTTGCCGTCCTGACCCTTTCCTCTCTCAGCTTATGGGCTTTTCCTATTCCTCCTTCAAGGTGGGGCCCATTACCCTGGAGCCCACAGATGATGGTATGGCTGGAGTGGCTACAGTCCTCTTCCAGCTGCCGGGGGGTGTCTTGGCTCCGAACCGCGCCTGTCTGGGCTCCGCACTGGTTACTTTGCGACAGAACCTGCAGGAATACTGTGGCCACGGCAATGGAGGCGGGCATCCAGGAGCGGGTGCAGGCCGCAAGGGGCTGCTGGGGCATCAGCACCTGACCACTATGGCTATGTAGAGAAACAAGTAACATTTTTATGAGAGATAGAATAAGTCTTTAAAGGGTTTGGTATATAATAAATTAATTTTGAAAGAAACAGCCACAAGGCAATGACAACATCCAGAAGTAAGAGCAACTTGAGCATTTTGAAGAGATGTACATATACATACATATACTGTATAATGAATTTAAAGTGTCTTTTATTCTATTATGTGTTGCTATACTGTATTCCAGTGCTTCACATGACCAAGCCAGCTGTCTCTAGAATACACTACAACTGCTATACGTATCAGCAAAATGCGTCACATCGTGTCTGTGATCACTAAAGAGGTATGAGTGCACTCGACAGATTATGCGACTGAAGACTGAAGCTGGACTCTTGTTAAAATTATTCTCATTGACCAACAGAGGTGTAAAACCATGTGCTTGCTTTGAACCAACATGTGCTTTATACCCCCCTCCCCCAAAAAGTGACAATCAGAATTGCCATTGAGAACAAAAGACTTGATTTCGGCATAATGTGCAACATTTTGATTGTCAGCGCAGGAAAAAAGTCTGAGTTACTTGTGAGGTGGTTTTTATATCATAGTCGATATGAATGATTTATTAATTGTAGCTAAGTATATGGCAGGCTTCTAAGCTACACGTTTATGTTAAACAGACTCCGTATGTTTCCGCATATGCATTCACCTGCTCTGTTACGTTATACATCTTTTTGCTCGTCTGCCTTCACTTCTTGCCTTGTCTGTGTGTCAGATGGCTTACACTGAATACTTGTGTTAATGGAAATGTGTTTGGTGCAGCTCCTGGAAGATGTTAAAGTGACATTTAGAGTTTTCTTTCATGAGTTGTTTTGAATTGAGAAGTTGTGAAGGATAATGTTTTCAGTATCGTTTTTGCACTCACGACACTACACTAACTTAACAGAACTCGTCCATTAAAATGAAGAAATTGTCCTTTTTTATGATTATTTTTTGTTCACATTAAATGTGTGTCGGTGTTGAGATGGTTCATTAAGCTGCCTTTTTTATGGCAGCTTGCCTTCTTAGGTGATTGTATGCACCAATCAAACTATGGTCTAACTAAAAATAAATAAATACAGTATGAACAGTTACATTTCATTAACAGTGGAAAGTGTTACATTAGAAAGTTCTCCTGGTGAGAGGTTTGTAAAGGTTTTGCAGCATTATTTTAAGTGATTTACATGTTCACTGGTTTGTGTTAACGGGAGTATTTTGATTTACTTTTTTGCACTGCACAGAGCCATGGGGCTTTAAAATTCATGTGAAACACAAGAGCGGGGTGTCATCCATGCTCGGATGGCAAACATTGTCGTGGACGAACTCAGAATGGTGCTACTGGCGTTTTGTTTTTCTTTTCTTTTTTTCCATTTTTTTTGAGTAGTTCAGCAAAATAAAGCTCATATGAATACTGTCACTATTTATAGCAGCCATGCCCAAATGAGCATTAAAATTGTTGTGTCTTGTATCTCTGTAATTTTTTTTAACATGCTTTATTTTTGTACATAACTTTTATTGTGTTTGTATTTTCGTTTTCAAAGAAGGGAACAGTGTTGTACAGAGGATTGTGTGAGGAGTCTGTCTTGAGTCAGCTGAAATAAAGTCTGTGGAACATGATTATGCGCTTTTTCTTTTTTTTTCTGTTACAAGTAAAAATACTTTAATATTTAAAAGCTGTAAAATTCTGGTGTTTGTGGCTCAGACATTAATCTTGTCACGTTGACCACAAGAAACCTAGCAATGGCTTACAACTGAAGTTTTAGTAAAAATAAGCGTGCTGTAATGGTAACGTTTTAATGTTGAGGTAAAAGTAATTTACAGTGATTTTAAATTTTTAAATCTGACAGTTAAGAGTTCAAAACTGCAAATGACTTGCCCAGAAGGTACTGCCTAATACATCGGTGTAACTTTGTGCTGAACATTGGGGGGGTCAAGATCTCTGTCTAAATAAATAAATCTGGGTAAATTCCTAGATGATTAAACATGCAACTAATTTGCTGTTAAAACCTGAAAGGAGTAAAGAAAACAGCCTATTTATGCAAGATAATTCATAATTTTATTAGGGGGTTATATTGGTTGGATCTTTTTATGGGGGGTCATAACCCCTCCCCCCCCCCCCCTGGAAATTACGCCCCTGGCCCAATATGATATTTTGGAGGAGAGCTGGAAAACCCTACAACATATTTATACCTGGTACAGACTAATGTGCTTCTAATTGAGAAGCCTAAGTATTTCAAGTTTTTGCATACATTTTCTGATGCAACACATCAACAGTGATGCAATCTGGTTTCAGTGAGTGTTTCGGGTCGTTCAACGTCATACACCCTCACCCGTGCAACCCAGGCACTGGCTGTCCAAGTAGCAATTGTCATCCATGGATTGGTCCGCTTGATCCATAGGCTGCTTGGCACCTTTTCTGCTGCATCTGTGTCGTTCTTGATTGCTCTATGGTTTTGGAGTCCTCTAGTGCCCAGACACTTCAGTGCCTGCAGAGACTGGCCTGCAAAGCCTCTGCATCTTTACCTCCCCTGGCCCTGCTTTGGCATTCAAGGCAACAGCAAATCAAATAACCACTTGCCATCAAGGATATGTATCTGACAAATCTACAGCAACTGTGTAATGCTCTCATGTCAATATGTAATGTTCCCAAAACTTTGTTGATTCTATACCATGAATAATTAGGACAAAGGAGGTTGTAACGCAGTATTATTAAGGTGAACTTAACGAATTGACCAGTGAGAATTTGTTAAAACTGAGGATATTTTTCTTTTTGTAGTTTTTTTTTTTTTTTAATCTTTCTTAACCCATCTACATCACGTATAGCATGACAGATAAGTTATGATGCAGGATGGCGTGATTTGTTGTGATGCTTGTTTTTTGTAGCTGTCACTTTAAAAGCGGGTTCAAGGTAAACAAGGCTGATGTGCTCTGGTTGGCCAGCACCAGAGGAAGTGTGCGGTGCTCTTCCTGTGTTTTTATCCATTTATAACTGATGCAGACTGCCAGTAAATGGTCGCTTAAATGTGAAGAAGCTGCTGCGGCTTAAGCGCCCGATTTAACACTGTGAGTCTCTTCTTTGTGGCGGAATATAAGCGAAACGGTGACAGTTGCACAGCTGTAGGAAAGTAAATGGCGTTAGCCTATTGCTAGGCTAATGCTTCTTAGCTAATGTGAGCTAACAAAGATCAGATAACCAGAGTCAGGGAATATTTAGATGACGCTTGCTTCTGTTCCCTGTGTTTCTCGGACTGCCTTTTTAAATCTAAGTGTCCATCGAGATATTCGACATAACGGTGTTTTCCTCTGCTCCACAGCACGCCACGACGAAACCCTAATGGTGATTACGTGAAGATGAAATCCACAAAAGGGGAGGCAAAGACAGAAGAGACACAAAGCGATGCGGTCACTATTAAAGCTGAGCATAAATTAGAGCAGGGGAGTGATGGCGAGGAAGGCTTCAGTGAAGTATACACTAATGGGCACGGCCTCAATATCCAGATAAAGGAGGAGCCACATTCGCAGGAGATCAGCGAGGAGCACAGTGAAGGCACAGAAGACACTAAGCCTGACACTATTACAGATGCTTATATTTCACAAGGACACATAAAGGAGGAGTTTGACTCCTACCATCCACCACATTATGAATTCACTGAAGCTGCTGTCAAGGAGGAGCCGGAGTCGTGGGTCAAAGAAGAGAGAGAGAGTGAAGAAGAGGTGGAGGATGCAAGCAGCGCCCGAGAGGGGTTTGAAGAGGGAGAGGAGGAGGCTTGCAGAGGTAGAGACCGGCCTTAAGTCTGGGTCTTTTTGCTTTTAGTTGTTATTCACCTTTTCCAAATTTTACAAATAGCCAGTTTTAGCTTGAAAAGTATGTATAAGAAACACATTAATGCAAGCTCTAGAGGTGTATCTGCATTTACATTTTTTTAATCAGCTGAGGGTTAAATACATATGTTTTAAAAAAGTTAAGAAATAACAGGAGCACTGTTAGTGATCCTTAAGCTAGACACCCTCATTGAAGGGAATAGCAAGACAAGAAAATGGAAAGATTCTGACCAAAAATTACATTACATTAAAAAATCCAGATCCAGCCACTGAATATATAGTTATAGTCAGAAGTTTACATAGTCTCATCATGGGCATGAATTTAGGGCTTTAAATTATTTATTTGAACTGCTCTTTTTCAAGAGTGGAATTATCTTACAGCATACATCTTTAATAACTTTAAAAACAAAAATTGGGTGCAAATTGGGTGACACAGCTTAAATGTCTTTATTATAAATCAAGAGAGTTTCCTATTACTGTAACAGGAAAAGTCTAATCATACATTCTTACCTTTGCTTGATGTGACTCCTGTCTATTTTTTTGTCACTCCTATGTAGAGTCATCATCTGAGTTTTTTCCATGTCCGCACTGCACTGTCTCCTTTACTGACTTGGACTTCCTGGAGAAGCATGTTAAGTGGGTCCATCAGAAACAGTACCTTGCGAAACTCAACACGTGCTTCTCAAGCCGCACACTAAATCTCATCCCCAAATACAGCTGCGGTGCATGCAGCAGTACCTTTAACTCTAAAGTACACCTCAGGGTCCACGTACGTGAAGTCCACCCTTCTGCCCCTCCCCGCAGGCTTCACCCTTGCCCAACCTGTGCTCGCAGCTTCCAGTACCTGAAGAACCTAAAAAATCACTGTCAGCGCTGGCACAACATGTCTGTGGTTACTAGAGGAGGATATCTCAGTTGTGCTGATTGTGGGAAGAGTTTCAAAACTACCTGGGGTCAAGGACCTCATTTGTGTCATGAACTAGATAGCACAGAGCCTGAAGATAAACCAATCTGTCTGGACACTGGTGTGGAGTGTCCAGAATGTGGTAAGAAAGTGCGCACACCTCAAAGCCTGGAAGACCACATGCGCACCCACACAGGCGACCGGCCGTTTGTCTGCAAAGATTGCGGCAGGAGGTTTGTAGAGCGCAGCGGTTGGCGACAACACATGAAAATACACACAGGGGAGAAGCCCTACAAATGTCAGGTGTGTGAGAAAGCCTTTTTAAGGTCCCACCATCTTAAGTGCCATTTAACCACACACTCTGGCAAGAAGGAATATTCCTGCTCGGAATGTGGAAAGGAGTTTGGATTGAAGTCTAGCCTGGATCTACACCTGAGGACACATTCAAGTGAAAGACCCTTCCACTGCAATGTGTGCGGGAAAAATTTCAACACTCAGAGAAACCTGAGGGTTCACACTAAACTTCATACCAATGAGAAAGCTCATCAGTGCGGAGACTGCGGGTTGAAGATCGGAGATCTCGGCGCTTTAAAAATACACTTACGAACACACACTGGTGAAAGGCCTTACCACTGCACTGTCTGCGGCAGTAGGTTCATTCGCCTTGCCCATTTAAGAAATCACCAACGCACCCACACTGGTGAGAGACCCTACAAATGTACTGAATGCGATAAGAGTTTCACACAGTCCGGTGACTTGGTGAAACACAAACGGATACACTCTGGGGAAAAGCCCTTTGAATGTCCCGAGTGCCACCGCTGTTACACTTCATCTGGTGATCTGGGGAAGCACAGGAGGAGTCACACTAACCTGCGCCCCTACACATGTCAAGAATGTGGGAAAAGCTTTCGCCTGTCGGGCCATTTGAAAACTCACATGTTAACTCACACGGGCGAGAAGCCGTATTCTTGCCCTAAATGCCTCCGCAGGTTTGCCCGCTCTCACCATCTTTCCGGTCACGTTGCCAAATGCCGCTAAGCTTTAAAGAGAAGATTGTAAATAGGACAGTGCTGACTTTAAGTTGCAAGTAAAAGTACACTACCCAGTCTGTTTTTGTTTGGTTTTTTTAAATGAATGTGTTAAAGCAAACTCTTACCTGTAAATGTAATGCATGACATTTTTTACCCATCAAAAGTAAAAGGCTGTTGTCACGCTGCTGGAGCGGCGTGGGGAACCAAGTTTGTGTAAAAACCTGAGTTCAAATCTCAGTGAGCTCGATGTAAAGGTCAGAGGTCAGCATTTCTGAAAATCATCTAGTATTTTCAAATGTATAGCATAGGTCCATCTACAAGGAGGCTGCTGGGTAGAACTGGTGGTTGCCAGCAGTTTTTCTTTTAACGGCACTGTCGCAACAATAATCTGTTTTTGCAAAACACTATAAAGATAGCTTGAACAAATCATATGAAATTCTGCTAATGGATTGTTTTTCTTCTTCCACTTGTTGATTACTAAATTATCTGTAATACATCAATGAAAGTTTGAAGTGCAAGGTGTATCCCTGTATTTATTGCTTTTATATATTTATTTTTAGTATTATATTTTATTGTCTATAATTTATATAATTAATGTTGTGAATGGTTTTAATGTCATTCTGTGTCGTTTTGGTTTTGCTGTGTGAAGCGCTTTAAGCTGCATGTTTGTCTGAATGTTTGTGTGTAAATAAAGTGAAGTTGAGTCAGTTTATGTGACGAATGCATTAACACTGAGTCACGTGTGAGATCTAGCATCAACCTAACACACGCAGAACAGATCATCTTACAAATGCAGAATTAGCTTATGATTGGTGTTTTTGCCCCCCTGACTTGGCAGTAAATGGGTTATGTTAGGTTGG